GAAGACAAAGTCGGAAGTATGGGCATTTTTTGGATATTTGAAGAATGCCGAAGGACAGTTGTCTGTGAAAGGCAGCAACGCTACGTGGCCATCATAATGTAGCCATTGTCTCACGACTCCGCCATCTCCAGTTCGCCACTTTTCACAAAATCTTCTGGTTGCCACTGGTCCTGGTGGTTTTTCTTCCAGTTCGACAAGTTTTCTTTTGGAAGGCTGGCTGACTCCAGTTAAAAACCGCCACATTTCACCACTAGTTTAAACACAAAGCTAACTGCTAACTTGATAAACTGATTGAATGGGATAGGTGGAAATGACGTTGGATGCGGCGCTCACGTTTCGCGTACGTTTGTGTACGTTGCATGCAGGCGGAAGGAGTATCAGAAATCCATGGAAGATGACTGATAAACATAACTAATTTGGTGCAAACATTTACTCGCCAGGTGGCAGGTAGAGCTCAAAAATTTACTCGTCAAATGGAGCAATTTGCTCGCATTTGGCGAGTGGCGAGTGTTAATTTCGGACCCTGCTTACCAGGCAAGATGGCAGCACACGTGCACATGCGCCGTACCTCCAACTGGAGGTTAGCACAAATGGCTAAATGGCTAAGTCCGTTTCTCACACCGAAAGTGTTAAAAACGCAGCTAAACTACTCGAGCGAAGCAAAGTTTTATCCCTCGGGTTCTAGCGGATTTTAAGACAGGTTCGCTGTGTCAATCGATTTTCAGCTGCGGGTAGCTACTCCGTTTTGCCGAAATCGAGAGCTAAACCTTAGCAGCTGAGCGTGCTAAGCTAGCGGAGCCTGTCAGCTTACCAGGACTTTGCGGTCTAATTCTGTCGTAGAACTGACCAGCCTGAATAACCGAATGTCCGTGACTCATTCGTGTTAATATTTTGGACTAATTAGCGTGTGCAATTCGTGCTGCAGTGACGTTCTTCCGTTTCAAAAGCCTATAAGACTGTCGCAATTCAATGCTAATCAGGCTATGGGCTGATTTACCAGTGACCAAACGGAAATCAGGAAGCGAATTTCCATTGGAGAAATTCTTTTATCTCTGTACACAAGAAAATGCACAGTGTCACGAAACACTCAGAAAAGACATATAAACATGTATTTACATTAAAGATGACAGCAGGAAAAACCCTGTTCTTTGCTAGAAGCTCCACTATAGCTTGAGATGACGTCAGCCTTAGTTGAAGAGATGAATCAGCGCCTCCTTGTGGGAGGTGAACAGTTTCACACCCCCTTTTAACTTTAAATGGAGATGCTGCACTCTAGTGGTGGATTACGAGATTGTCCCTTTTTCAACCAGAAACATCAGTTCTAAGTGTTTTACTGTTTAAAAATGTCCCAGGATGAGCACAAAGTGTCAAAATGTACAAATATCTGGCAATGGCTCGCCATTCTGTAATGGTTTATTTTACATGTTATTTAATGAGCCATAAGACATACGTAGTAAATATGAAATCAACCTTATGGATCTGTGGGTACTTTTTGACCAGAAGATTGGAACTTTTTATTGCAGGGATTATGTAACCACATCGCATTAAATCATGAGACAACAGAAGAGAGAGTCAAGTTCTAAAAGTTTAAAGATTTATTACTAAACAAATTAAAACTTGACTAACTTTAACACTAAATGTATGGTGTAACTAAGATGAATGAGATGGAGAATGGTGTAGTGTTGAATGTTGTTCAGAACCAGCAAATCCGAAGAAACGATTAGTTCTGGTGGGAATGAGGGTGATGTCTTGAGCTAAGCTTTGATTAGGAGATTCATAAACACATTCAACGCCATTTTGTCGCTCCACACATACCCGTAGAATGAGACCTCCGTACAGATCCAGAATGCCAGGTCCTCGAACCCCTCTTTCGGTACTGGAGCCGATGAAACAGCGTCAGCAGTACGACAGACCAGTCTCTGGATTGTCTCCAGGTAAAAGCGACAGTTGGTTGACAGCGTCAGATGGACCCAGAAGGTCAGTGAGTTCAGCTTTTATTCTGAAAGGAACCATTGCAGCAGGTGGAACGGCAACAGGTTTATCCAGCTTGTCGTTGGTTCTTTCGGCTGAAGAGGCGAGTTTACGGATTGGCCACTCCGTCAACTTCTCTCAAACGCTTTGAACTGGCGTTAAAGATGACGTGGGCATAGTTTTATACTTCGGATGTTTTAGTTTATGGTCGAATGAAAAGGTGACAGATTTACCAAGCACCACCAAAACTACGCCTCCGTCAGTTCTGGCAGATTCTGATTGGATCAGTAAAGCAATGTGTCATGTCTTAACGCTACAAGAGATCAGTCCTAGTGGAAACATTTAAAGTCATATTACTCATCATATTCTATAGGATTATAATAAAGTAATTAATATTTTGATTTCACAGATTGGTCACATCTTATTGACTAACACTTTGTTTGATTAGCTTTATTAAAAATGGAGTTCTATGATTGATTAAAAATAGAGAGTCCTTTTCTTCATTCTTCTCTTGAGCTGGAAAGAAAGCAGTCTATAGCAAATGCATGAGACCTTGAGGCAATATCTCATACAGACTAGTTCTGTGTCAGAGGAGAGGGGCGGAAATGACTTTTAAGTGGAAAACAGTCATTTCATTCCGTTACACAGGAATTCTGAATTCAATCTGTCAAACTTGGTAGTAATATTGCCACAACGCTTGACTTCTGAAGAATGATCACGTCTTGGCGCAACAGAGGATGGTGTCATGATCACAGGTGGAGTTGCTGCTGAACTTCGGCTGGCTACGATATTGAAAATGAAAGCAAACACGGACAGTAAGTTTCACTTTTGTAAACAGATTCAGTTGAGATGATAAACTGGAGCCATGCAGAGTTCCAGAAGATTAAGTCCTTTAGTGCTGAAGCTCAGATCTCCAGAGAGTTCATGGGGAGAGTGGAGGACAGACACCTTTAGAAGTAGCTGGTGTAAAAAACTTACAGAGCATGACTTCAATCTAAATAAAAAAAACAGTCCACAGCAGTGCAGAGACTGCCCCCATATCTTCTTTATGCCACCATCCTATAATATTTTGTAAAAGGAACACTATTGTGCCACATTGACGCCACGTTCTGACCATTTATGACCTATGGCTCCCTAATGCCGGCTTAGCTTTATGGCAAATTGGCGGCTTTGTTTTATAAATGAGGCTGTAGATGTACACACAAAACAGTAATGGACCTAGCATGAAACCTTGAGTTAATGCCTGATTTAATTCCATTAACTTTGGCGAATAAGCTTTGATTGTTTATATGCACCATGTATTGAACAAAACTTTTAAAAGTACAGTTTGTGTAACTTGTTTTATTTGTTTTTAAACACACAAGTTTCTTATAAACTCAAATATATGGTAAATGGCCTGTATTTGTAGTGTATTCTAGGCTTCAACACCCGCCCAAAGAGCTTCACAACACAATCAGTCATTCACCCTGGCGCGCGTGCACGCACGCACACACACACACACACACACACACTAGTGGGGAGGAGCTACCTCGTAGTCAAAGCTGCCCTGGGGTACTGACACAGGCGGGCCTGCCCTACACAAGCACTACCAATCCCTCCGACCACCACTAGCAGGCAATGTGGGTTAAGTGTATTGCCAAAGGACAGAACAGCAGTATTTTCTGCGGTGAGACGGGATTGATCCTACAACCCTCCTATTGCTGGATAACCCAATCTACCTCCTCCTTGTCTTTATGTCTAGTAATTATTTTATCTTATTTTTGTCTTGTATTTTTTTATCTTACCTGTTTTTCTTTTATGTAAAGCTAACTATGTGTTTGTTGCTGCTGCCTCTTGGCCAGATCATCGTTGTAAATGAGAATGAGTTCTCAATCGACACATCTGGATAAATAAATGTAAAATTTATTTATTATTTATTTATTAATGATTGTTAACCAGCTCAGTGGCCTAGTGGTAGAGTGTACACCCTGAGACTGGGAGATCAGGGTTCGATTCCTGGTCGGGTCATACCAAAGACTTAGAAAAAATGGGACCCAATGCCTCCCTGCTTGACACTCAGCATTAAGGGGTTGGATTGGGGGGTTAAACCACCAAATGGTTCCCGAGCGCGGCTGTGTCTGCAGCTCACCGCTCCCCCAGGGGATGGGTCAAATGCGGAGAACAAATTTCGCACACACACCTGTGTGTGTGACAACTAATGGGACTTTAAAATAAACCTCCTGAGCTGCTGCTGCATAACATTCTTACAAAGACTACACATTTCACTGTACTTGCTAGACTTGCTGTCTAGTTGCTTTTTCCGTATAAGCTGTTAATACTTTCAGCAGTTAAAAAAGGCAGAACTGTTGGACAAATTTCTGCATAACTTGCAAATGCAAATTATTCAAATTGTGCATAAATGCTGAGAGTTGTAGACACACACACACACACACACACACACACACACACACACACACACACACACATATATATATATATATATATATATGACATGTTATATATATATATATATATATATATATATATATATATATATATATATATATATATATATACCGGTATATATAGCAAGGTGATACTCTATAATAATAGAGTATTACAGCTATGGGTCACAATGTAATGAGAATAGAAATGCAAATCACATCATTATGTTGCCTCCTATAATATGCTTTTACTGGCACATTTACTTCAGGTACAGTCGGACTTCTGAACACTGGAGCTGAAATTCAGGAGCCTGACAGAAACCCTGGAAATTAACCACAAACTTGTCAGATTTTTGTTCAAACTAAACCAATCTTCCTTTTGACTTCAGGGTCTGGAGAGATTTTCACCCCACAGTGTGGAAATAAAAAGGCCAACTAGGCAATTATTGGTCCTGTAAAAACTGTCACCGCGATAAAAATATGTAAAACCAGAAGAAACAAAACGAACATATTTAGCAGCACTGTAGTGATGTAGTTGTCCTCCCGTTGGTTTTGTCTCTGTTCTTGAAGCCAGTTTGATGACGTTTCCTGTTTGTGTTGGAGCGGCCGAGTGCTCTTATCAACACTCCCAAGAGGTTCGGTAGAGTTAAGATGGCGGCATGTGGGTGAGGAGCCAGGGATTCAAACTCTAGGTCTTTTTTGCAATTAAACGATTCCTATGAAATCACATCCGTGCGGTAGTCGACGGATTAAGTATTTCTATACCTTTCACGAGTCTGTGTGTGATTTTGGATTGGGCCCATGACATCTATCCACTTCGTTGTTCACCCGTTGCCCGGGACCGAAGACCAGCTCAATGACAGGTATTTCGTTGCAGTAAAATAGTAAATAAAATGATTGTTAATGCAGTAGTTTGGTTAAAGTTTATTCTAGGTTGTAACTGTTGATACTGTCATGTGTTTTCTTCTGTTTTTTAAACGGTAAAAACGAGCCTTCCAGGGATGATTTAAGGCCCGGCATTTTGAGCAGACCTTCGGTAGCATGCTAATGCTAACGCGTTAAATGTCTATGTAACGTTAGCAGGACGGTTCCGTTCTCTTCTGGACGGATTGGCTCATAGTCAAAGTTGAGGATAGACAATGCGGGTTGGGGGATGGGGAAAGAGGGGTGGAAATATAAGGCTTTTAACCCAACCAAACTGTTAAACCACTCACGTTTGTGTATAAATGACATATACGCCACCGCGGCGAGGGTTTTCGTGTGTTATTTTTGCGTTTTGTTGGATAATGTTATCAATGAAGGAGCTAAAGCTAGCTAACTGTCAGCTAGCTCACAATGCTAGTTAGGTTAGGTTACCACGCGCTTGACAAAGACATATTCTGAGCTTTTTGCTGTAATGATTCCATTAATCTTGAAGTTTAAGTATACATTTATCCCCAGACTTCATTGCTAAGGCGACCTAATATGTCGCTGCCAACGCTGGGCACTGGGATGCATCTAGCAGCCTTACATTCATTTTAATCTTGTTATCGACTTTAATTAGGCTAGCAAGCCAAGGCGTATAAAGTATCAATAAAGTACACGAAATTCTTTAGTTAGCACCTAATCACCCAATATTGTTCCACTCAAATACTGGTTTCCCTTAAACGGATAACCCAGATATAATATCGTGTAGTTAGCCAGTCAATGCAGATTGGCTAATTTACTCAAAAAAGGTTTCATTTATAAAGTGAAGAGATAGTTAATTAGTAGTATTTAGAAAAAATACATTAGAACTTGTATGCAACCCACGTTTTTCTGCAACACGTGATCTATAATAAATCTATTTATACTGTCCACTGAGATTGAACTGATTAATGAGCTGTTCCACTTAGAGACAAAGAGGTGAGAAGTCAGTGTTTTACGGAATGACCTTGAGCTTAAAGACAGGATAGGGGCTAAGTGTTGGATAGCTTTTACAGGCTCTGAGGAGGACCACCTTTGCTCTGGTGGACAGGGAGGCTCAGTTTACGCTATTATTTTGAAGGAATCTTGCATGAAAATGCCACAGGAGCATCCTGGTGCTATTGGATCCTTGGAGGGGGTCATGGCTCTTCATCTCCAGGCTTTTATTCTTTTGTAATCTACAGTCACAGTGTGCTTCTTGGAGCATCTTCTAATTTGGTTTTGCCTTTCTGTAGTGTTTGCTCTAGTCCGTGGGCTTTAATGTGCACCCTATTGAGCCTAAAATTATGTTTATGTATTTAGCAAATAGTTTTGTCCAAAGCAACTTACAAGTGATAATGAGGCCAGCAGCTTAATTTGTTATTATTTCACTCAGGGGTAGACTGCTTTACTTAACATTAAGATTTAAATTGACTCCAGAGAAATACACAAGTTCAAAGGTAAAAATGTTTACCCCTGATATTCCAGCAAGAATCTGAGCGATAGTAAACTGAGCTGCATTGAAATGGCCCAATCTGCTTTATTGTGGAACTGATTAAAATATTTCTTATCTCATAGTTTTTGTTCATTAAATTAAAAGATGAAGTTGTCTTTGTGAAGTTTCTATTGGACAGTTCTGTAAGTGGTTACTTTTAACACATTGTCAATAAAATATAAAGGTATTCAATAAAATGTGATACTCAATAAAATATGGATTTATCGATATTATTGAACCTTTAATATTTTATTGATATAAGTATATACTTTGGGTATGCCAGGGAAACAACACTTTATAATAATCTGACACAGAGGCAAAACTATAGTTTATAAAAACCAATAGTACTATATTTCTACTGCTAATGATGATTCATGATGAATTATTATAAATGAAGATTTAAGGCAATATCAACTGAGACAATGAATAAACTGAAGAAATACGAGCTTAGATGTTAAGAGCCTAATAAAGTGTCTTAGATGTGATTTCTGGATTGATAAAGTAAATCTGGCTGAATGTTTAATGAAGTTTAACAAGTTATCAAATTAATAATAAACCATCCAACTCCAGTGTGAAGAAGCGAAGTCATCTCGGCAAAGCGAATGGTTTGCCTTCTGATGTATTTAAGGGTTGTAGGACCCCTCAGAAATCACACCACTGGTCGAAGCGATAACTTCCCTGGGTGACTTCTGGTGGTTCTAATGGAGTTTTGCAGGTTCAACAAATAATTGGTTGGTTCTGAAAAACGATGGCTCTAATGCTGCTAAAATTATTCCACTGAAAGATATGGTTTGACTTCACAAAGAATGGTAATTTAGCACAAGCCGGAGCTTTGGCTGGAACTGCCGAATATAGGAAGTGTTTGTCTTTTAAGGGTTTATTGTTTATGCGTTTTGGACCAACCAGATGCCAGAGAGTGTAGGGTTAGTAGGGCTGTAGCGAAGCTTCGATGACGTCGACGGCTCGATTCTAAAAATTCGTCGACGTCAGATCCGGTAGTCGACGCACCGCGCCCACTTGTTGCATCCCCAGGAGTTTGTAAATAGAGGTGGAATCTGCCTGTTTTTCCTCTAGTTCGCCCTCTTCTTCGCCTTCACTAACATCTCAGCCAAATACCGAAGACCCGGAACAAAGTCCATCCGCTACTAGGTTCCTTTCCTGTTTTGCCCGCCTTCGTTTCCCGGCAATGGACAACAACTTCCGGGGTCAAATGCGCTGCTCCGTCTCTATAGCAGATGTAGAAAATCACCGGGAGCGTTTCTCCCTTCATAAAGGAGCTTCTTTCAGACATTAGGAGAGCTGTTTTGGTGGTAGCAGTCTCTCCTCCGAGCTGGTCTGTTTGCTGCTGGGTGTTTTTGGTTTAATTAAACTTGGCAACTTAACGTTGGTAAAGCTACTGTTAGCATTTTCGCTAACAGCTTCTTGCGTTTGGATAAGCTGTTACGTTTTGGTTTAGAGTTCATCTTTTTTCAATCCAATCCAATTTTATTTATAAAGCGCATTCACAAGGCATTACAACCAAACAAGGCGCTGTACACTAGAAATGTTGGTTATTAAACAAGCGATATTTAAACATGTTGAATACATATAAAAAATAATAATTTGTGGTACAAATTAATAAATGTCTAAATGTAATAAAATCTCCCTTTTGTTACATTTAGAGTGTTTTGGGTTTTCGGTTTAGTTTAAAATATCACCTTGAGGTTGGTTTAACCGCCCAGTTTAGAGTTTGGAACTTTGGAGATTCTTATTTTGGTCCAAAACCCTGTAATCTTTGCACAGTGGGACATCCCTAGTTATCTGTACTTTTGTTTTAATTCCCCACAGGCAGAATTAGTTTTATTACTCCCAACCTGTGGATGGAAAGATTTGGTTTTTTGTAGTTGTAAATAAACCCGATCATCATTTTAACTTTTAAATCCCACATTATTGTCCCTTCCTTTTTGCACACGAGCCAAACTCCCCAGGAAGAGTCGTAACACCACTCGCCTCACGCACATAAGTGACCAAGACGAAGCAGCATGGAGACACTCCGTCTCCAACCACCTCTCAGGCAGCAGCCTGCACTCCCAAGTTCTACACGTCACCAGAACATAACCAACCAACACAATAAAAGCAGTGTTATACAAAATGGGAGGCCTGTAGTGTTTATTCTCTTACAGTAACAATTAATCAATTTTTTGGAGGAATTTATTAGAGATTTTTTGGTTTTTATTAACTGTGCAATAGAAAAATAATCATTAGATTAATTGTATAAATAGTCATTAGAATAGTCGACTATTCGATAAAATAATCGTCAGAATAATCGTTTTAAAAATAATCGTTTACCCCCAGCCCTAAGGGTTAGGGTCACACTTTATTCTCAAAAACTTAGGAAAGGCCTATTTCACTTAATATGTGAAGTAAATATTAGGGATGTACACTCGGTAGAACATGAACTTTGGAACACGTCTTGGCGGCTCCCGATTATGGTTGTCACGGTGTGAAAATTTAACCTCACGTTTATTGTGACCAAAATTACCACGGTTTTCGGTATTATCGCTGTATTTTTTTTAAACGTGCTACATTTTCACACAAATAAATAAACCCTGTATGTCAGGAAATATTGTCCTCCGTTTGTGTCTAAATTTTGCCTAAAATGTGTTATTTTGTAATTATGTTGTTTATTTGTTTACATTTTTTCCCTTTAGTCTTTAAAATACCAATATTTGCCCATAACTTCTTATTTTTTTGTCTGTTTGTCATCATTTAAAAAATGTTAGATCAGATGATACTAAGTACTCAAGTAGCCTTCTAATTCAGATACTTTTTTTTTCCCCTTGAGTAATAAACCCTAAATCAGGAAAATATTGTCCTCGGTTTGTGTCCTTCCAGTGAGCTTTGCAGATTTGGGAAAATGTCATAAATTTATAATTATTCTCGGAGAGAGACCAACTCTTATCTGCCCCTGGGAGCCCCATAATGCATAGCGTCATTTCAACATGGGGGTGTCCGCGACACGATTTATATGCAGGTAGCGGCGCTGCAGCTGCTTTTTATAGTGACTCGTTGCATTCTCCCTCAACCCAAATCCTCGGATCACGCATTTTAGCTAAAACGCTAATGTTAGCTTGCCTTGCGTTGACTGTAGAGTTGTGGGTGATGGTCACGCAGATGTGTCATGAGATTTGAAGCGTTGCTGCCTTTCACAGACACTTTTTCTGCACGTGCTGCAAACAGGATAGCCGTCTTCTATCAACTGTCCCTCGGCATTCTTCAAATATCCAAAAGATGCCCGTACTTCCCACTTTGTCTTCTTTGAGGGATAATAAATGTCCTGAGCGCTGCCGTCTCCTCCTTTGGCCATTATTTCAGCTTTAGCTTCAAGAAAGTTTTGGTTGTAAACAACAAAGCGCGCATGTGCCGCCGGCAACTTCAGCAGATGATACGGTGGCTGGTAAGGGT